CTTCAGCAGCCATGGGCCTGCCCGGGTACGTTTACGAGCCAGTTCTATCCCACGGAGCGCGAGGCGCACTTTACAGGCCTCGTAAAACCTCCGAGTGCTTCCTCGCTGACTTGACTAGCTGTTAGACAGATCGCTCCACCGCGGCTGTTGTTCCCAGCGGGCCCCGATGGCACTGCCCCCGCCCCCCGGCTTCGAGGGTGCCCCACATGCTCCTGCGGCAGGTGCTGGCTGGTTGCCGGAAGGACCAATGCAGAAGCTGAGCCAGGCTCGGGAGACCTGCCTTACCGGGACCCCCCCCTGGCCAGCTCCTCACCCCTGGGTCTCCCCCTCAGGCCGAGGTCACCGGCTGGGCCGTAGTTCCCCTAGGGGGGAAGGGGGCGCTGTCCGGTCACAGGGCCTCTCTTCAGCCCCACCCCGGCTCCAGGGGTGAAAGGAGCTGAGATTTCTTACCGGGACTGTCCTGTCTCACCCTGTCCCCCAGGGCATGGCTGGGGGAGTGTTGTGGATACAACAACACCTGTAAGAAATGTAAGTTACTTTCACCCCTGATGTACAGATGAGCTTTTGTGACATGATTAAACAGCCTGGATACGTCTAGAATGGCATTGTTTTCCACAAATGCTTTTAACGGAAAAGTTTTTCCGTTAAAAGCATTTGCAGAAAAGAGTGTCTAGATTGGCATGGACGCGCTTCACGGGAGCCCTTCAGCAGGTGTGACGTTACTGGATTGCAATAGGAACATGCAGCTCGAAGCTGCAACCACTGCTCTAGGTTTGCAACAACCCTTGCACACTGTGTGATGAGCTGTCAATGAAAAGGGTGTAACTGGCTGGTTAGGATCACGCCCTTTGCGTGCAGGTATCGTTTTTGTACGTGAAGTTACGGACATGGGCCGTGTACTTGTATTTCATGTGGTTGCACCCGGCAGACAGCCACAGGAGGTTTGGCCAACTTTAGCGTGGTGACAGGAAAGTGGAACAGAAGGACCTGACGGACAACGGTACTTGGCAGGTGCCAATCCACATATGACGTGCTTTCCTGTGCACGGCAGCAATGGCCTCTACCTGTAAAGAACTGAGTCATGCATGGACCTGTGACACGCCCATGTGATCCACGTGCCTCTTCCCCCGAGTGCCCGTCCCGTCCTCGCTCGGTCCAAGCTGGTCCCTCTGCTGCCCTCGGTGCAGACTCTGCAGCCTGGTTGACCCCCCCTCCACGTCCAGAAAATCCCCAGCTTCGAAACCAGTCAGTTCCCAAAGATGTTGGGCCAGGCAAGTGCAACCTGTATACACTGAAATTTAAGCATCAAATCTGTATTCCCATGGATTTGTTTTAGAACAATAGTAGATTTACCCACCATTGCTCGGTCCTTCAGGGCAGGGGGCTGGAAGGTGCAGGAGTCAGGACTGGGGGTGCAGAGGCAGGGGGCTGGAAGGTGCAGGAGTCAGAGCAGTGGGTGGAGGATTCAGGGCAGAAATGTGGGGAGGCTGGGGGCTCAGGGCAGGAGGCTGGGGGGGTGGAGGTGTAGGAGTCAGGGTTGTGGGGTGTGAGGGGTTCAGGGCAGGAGGCTGGGGGGTGGGGGAGGTGTAGGGGTCAGGGTTGTGGGGTGTGAGGGGTTCAGGGCAGGAGGCTGGGGGGCAGGTGTAGGAGTCCGGGCAAGGGGCTGGGGAGGGGGGGTC